CAGCCCAAGAACCTGAATGTGAGAGTTGGTTGGCTGGCAGTGGAGGCAAAGACTTCGCCTTGCGGCACTCTGCATTACGCTGTTCCCGTTTTTCTCGGCTTCTTATTTCTGATTCGTTAAACAGGCTGACCCAAGGCTCGTCCAGCTCCCCGTCTGATTCGGATGTAGACGACGGAGCATTAGGTAACTGTGTGTGCCTGACTTGTACTAGCGCTCCCAAGGGATCGCCATGAGAGGCTGTGCGTGGGCATTGTGTAGTTGTGTGCTCAGCATCAACGGTTGCAGTGTACTTGGGTATTATTATCGCAAGACGTGCAGCTTGGGTTTGGCGGTTTGATCATTGCGCCAGGACTCAGCCGTGCGGTCACAATCTCAGAATTTGCCAATTCGGATGTCAGGTCCGTTGGGCATCCATTGTTGAGACGGCCGAAATTGCTTCTGTCTCGTTTTTGCGCCCCTGTCTCTTACTTTTTGGTTCTTCGACGGCTAGTCGCTTTGAGGAAAGCTCGTGCCGGCCAACAACAGGGACGGGAGAAGAGAGAGAACAACGGAGTAAGAGCCAACTGAGAGGCAGCAGTGTAGCAATCGCCTTGTTGATGGCGCGGCGGGCGGTGGGGAGGATGCTGAGCCCAAGTACACGCCTGCGTTCCCAAAAGAGAGAGGCTCCGTCGTCGTCTTGAGACATTGACGCCAAAGCCGATGCTGCTGGGCGCTGAGCCAGACAACCTGACCTCACCTCGCCTCCCAGCGCAGCCATTTAAAAGTGCGATCCAGGCTCCAACATCCGTCATCTGTCTAACTCTAAACCCTGTGTATTTGGGCTAGGCGCCATTTGCTCTCCTTTCCCCCCTCCACTCCGACTCCTGGAGGGCGAGGACCCCTGCAGCGGCCACAAACACCCCCGCCCCCTCCTTTCTGCGTGAGTGGACAGCTTCTGTCATAGGTAGGGAGGTGGTAATTTATTAGGCACTGCCTGCCTACAGGCCACCACCCGACTGAGCCAGCCGCTAAAGTATTCGGGACTAGGCACAGCTGACAGCCAGCCCGACCTCCAGTAGGAATTATTTAACGTGAGGTGCCAGAGGTGCAGCACTCTACGAGGTAGGCGCCGACCGACCAGCCAAAGTGCCGCTGGCCTTTCCCACCAGCTGCCCGCCCCCCGTCCCAGTTCCCAAGCAAGTCCCAAGCGCTCCTCCAACTTTTGCTCCAGCCCACAACACCATCTTCCTCCCGCCTCTTCGAATTCGTCCCGTTACACCAGACTACAGACTCAACCGACTCGTGTTCCATTCTCGATCGACTCTCCCGGCTTCGACTTCATTCCGAACGCCCTGCGACCGAGTCATCGCAGCTGGACGCTCCCGTTACACCAAAATGAAGGTTCGTCGAAATTCGTTCGCTCGCTCCCTCGTTTGCCTGCCTGCTCGTCACTGCAACCAAGCAATTCTCATCACGCACCCGGCCACCCATCCACACTGTTCCGCCGCGCCCCCCCTCCTCTTGCCCGCTCCTTTGGCTCGCCTCCCTCTCCTCATGTCTTGTGATTATCCCCGGATCTTGCCTCTGCGACGCGGAGCTGGTGATGACGCCCATCGTCGTGATGCGACTCAGTCCCCTCGCCCCGCACATCCTGACTCTATTCCGCCTATGAGCCAGTCTCGCCGTGCCCCTCTACTTCGCATGGTTGCAGACGCCAGTTTCACATCCCGTCATTCTCTTTCTTCCTACTCTTCATATTTCATTGTTTCTGCCCTACCCGCATGGTCAAAGACCGCTGCTAACCGAAATGCGCGCTATCCAGGCTCTACGGCGCTCCATCAAGGGCGATAAGGACAAAGGCAACAATCCAAACATAGCGCACAAGTCCCCCATCGCTATTGTCCCCCCCAAAAAGGTACGTCGCAGAATTCTTTTACCTGTAATCTCCCTGATCCTGGCGCTGACCGCTTCTCGCAGGTCATCAGAGCACTTTACGACTATGAGGCCCGATCAGATAAAGAGCTGAGTTTCTCACGTGGAGACTTCTTCCATGTCATCAGCAACGAAGACGACAGCGAATGGTACGAGGCATGCAACCCCGCGCTTCCTGATGCGCGGGGCTTGGTGCCCGTTGCCTTCTTCCAGGCCCTCGGCAGAACCGAGAGGGACAGCGGGCATTCGGATGGCGTGCGTGGCATCACATCGCCGATCAAGCTACCTGATAATGATTCCGGGTTCAGCGAATCTCACATCGGCGCTCCCCAGCCCATTTCCTCGCCGGCTCTGAAACGGATATCGCAGCCAGGAAAGGCAGCAGGGCCTCCGGGTCCTGTGGTCTATGGAAGGGTCATGTACGACTTCAAGGCGGAGCGGGCCGACGAGTTTAATGCACAGGCCGGCGAGGCTATCATCATCATTGCCCAGAGCAATCCCGAATGGCTCGTCGCAAAGCCTATTGGCAGGCTGGGTCACCCAGGATTGATTCCTGTATCGTTTGTCGAGATCCGAGATATGGCGACTGATAAGCCTATCGAAAACCCGGAGGAGGCGATAAGGAAGGCCGGCGTTCCCAAGGTGGAGGAATGGAAGCGCAGGGTCGCTGAATACAACAGCAGTGGTATTGCTCTGGGTAAGTTCGAGGGTCCTGGATCGCCCGGGTCGCCCAACCCCGGTGGCAGCTCTCAGCAACCACAGAGCCTTGCCAACGCAATGGACCGCATGAGTCTTCAGCAGAACGGCAAAAACCCAGCTCCTCCCAATGGTGTAAGTAGCCTAAAATACAGCGAATGTCTCCCTCGACCGGGGTCTTGTCTAATCCTTCTACTTTTTACAGCAGCAGAACAACCCAAATGGCCATCGAACCAACCAGGAACAGTACATTCAACAAGTCCAGCAAAGCCACGGCCCCGACGGCTCCTCACAACTTCTTTGCCCCATCTCAGCTCGCATTCCCCGGTACTGTTTCGCCGAAGACAAGTATTGGTTTGTGATAGAAGCAGTCCTGGAGGACGGTCGACACTGGGAACTCTCGCGGTACTACGAAGACTTTTACGACTTCCAAATCGCACTTCTCACCGAATTCCCTGCCGAAGCCGGCAACACTGGTCAGCAGAAGCGTTCTTTGCCGTACATGCCCGGCCCGGTCAACTATGTAAACGACGCGATCACGGAGGGGCGGCTACATAATCTGGACGCTTATGTGAAGAACTTATTGAACCAGCCTCACTACATCTCGAGATGCATGTTGGTTAAGCAGTTCTTCCATCCACGAGAGGGCGACTATGAGAGCGATCCTAACGAGATGGGCGATTACCGATTATCACAAGGGTCACAGGGATCTGCCGACAATATTGGGCATATATCCTATGGACAATCCCGCAATGTAGAGAATAATGGCGGTGGATATGGCGGTTTATCCGCTACACCACGTCACCCTGGCGGCCAGCAAGGTATGGTTATACTACTGGGTCTTCTCTTACTTTTATTTCGCTTGCTAACATTTTGCAGCCGGCCAACCCCAAGCAAACACACAGGGCCAATCTGGTGCTTCTATGAAAATCAAGATGTACTTCAACGACGATCTAATCGCCATCCGGGTACCGGCCGATATTCAATTCCAACAGCTCTATGACAAAATCCGCGACAGACTCAAAGTACCGGCTGGAGAGCGATTGCAACTGTTTTACAAGGATGAGGCGACCGGAGACAACCCAAACCTAATGAGCGACAACGACCTAGACTTTGCTTTGCAACGAAACGAAAAGCTGCTCCTCTACGTGGAGGTAGCATAACGCGGCCGAGCACCGGACTCAACGACCCCAGGACCTCGATTTTCCTCGTCTTCTCTTTGAATCTCCGACTATTTTCTCGCCCCCTCACATGGTGCACTCGAGAAGCGTTACCCAAAATCCGCTTACGTTGGTTTCTTTGTACCTATTGAACCTTTTCTTGGACGGTTGTCATTCAGGGGCCTTGAGAGCGCAACGGTGTTTGCGCATCTCTACTGCCTCGTTGCGTGATTGACTAGTTCTTTCTACTTCTTCCCATTCTTATTCTTATTTCTGTCTCTGCATCTCGAATGATTATCAGAGGCAAGCAACTGATTAAATCGTTTTGGACACATTGACTTCTTACCCCAGGATTGTCGAAATCTTGTTGATCTGATACCCTCAAGGAAAAGGCCATCGTTGGGCGAATCGTTTGATGGCAGCCTTGTTTTTGGAGAAAGATAATCCTCTAATCCCTGGCTTTTCATGCATCTACTTTATCCTTGTTCGGTTTTTTTACATATGGCACGGGTAAGCCATGGGAGAAAGGGGGTGAAAGGGCGTTCTGGAAAGGACTGGCACATACCTTTTTGATTTTTTTTTTGTCCTGCTCACTTATTTGATGGAACATGAGTTTTGTTTTTTGGGCTTCCCGACAGGGCTGTTTTTGATTTTATTTGGCTTCCTGCAGAGGCAACTCGGGGTTCGTGTGGATTTTTTCGACAGTGTTGCAGATAATTCCTGCTCAGAGATGAGCTGTTTTGGTTCAGGCAGCTTGGCATCGAGACGTGGTTTGTAACACGGAGGACTTGAAGTGTTATACGTATGCGATGAGTGAAATGAAAAAAAGCTAGAAAATCAAAGGCTGTTTATACTGCAAGGTGATTTGATTTCGAATGTGATAGATTCGTGTGTACATCTTCTAATTATGCCCCTCTTGATGGTTCTATGTCTATGTCATATCCATGGAATCATATCTTGATGTAATAGCCAGCACTCCGTCCTTCTATCCTCGTGAAGCAAAATGTCGAAGCAGGTCGACCAAACCGAGTAATCATATCCAGAAACTTGATATTAAAAGAACAACCAACGCCATGATACTCATGCAGTAAAAGAACCGGGAACTGAAAACCTCACCTTTTTTTATCTTCATCTTCCGCAAAGTGTAGTCAAGCGGACTACAACCGGCTTCGTTACTTCCAACTCGAAGTTAAACAAACCCCCGGGAAAACTTCCCAATCTTGCCCCCCCAACTCACTCAAGCTTGACCATCATGCTCCTCCGTAACTTTGTGTTCACAACCCCACCAACGCCAAAAGCAGGGACGATGCGACAAACGCGCGCGGCCGCGCTGGGTAGCCACATGCGCCGTATGAGCTCCCACCTCTGCCCCCACGTCGCGCCCCCTCCCGGCGGCCTGTTGTAGACGTCGAGCCCGAGGAGGTGCAGCGGGGTGGAGAGGAGCTGCACGGCGGCGGGGGCGAGGAACTGCGCGGCCGTGGCGCCGGAGACGTACCGGCGCAAAGAGGCGGAGAGATAATCGTCGATACGGGGGCCGAGGAGGGGGGGGAGGATGAAGCTGGCGAAGATGGTCATGGAGTCGCGGGCGGCGAAGAGGGCGTAGGAGGGGAGGGTGACGGGCCGGGGCGGGGAGCCGGGGGGCCCGAACATGCGGGCGAAGACCTGGTCCTTGTAGATGCAGAGGCCGACGTTGACGGAGGAAGAGGCGGCGAATTTGGGGGTGCCGGCCGTGACGAGGGAGGCGGGCCTGTCGTGGGCGGTGGAGGAGATTGTGTCGAGGGTGTTAGCGGAGGCGTAGGTTGCGCCGTAGAGGAGGAAGAGGAGGGCGGTCGGTTTTGTGAGGAGGATGGTGTGGGGGCGGAGGAGGAGGTTAGAGAGGGAGGTTTTGAGGGAGTTGGAGAGGGTGTTGCGGCCCGAGGTGTTCTCCATGATGGATCTGGGGGGGAGTCAGTATGGTCATGCTGGAGGGAGGACTGGGGTTTTTTTGCTTCTTACCTGTCGATGATGGCTACGATGGGTGCGATGAGAGCTCCTGCGCAGCTGGCGCTGACGAGGTCGGAACCGATGCGAGCACCTAGATTCTTGGTATTCCAGCTCCGCCGCGCCGATTCCATCGTGGTGGTTGTGGGAGAGGAGGTCGTTGAAGCACGAGGGGCGGTGATGTCACTGACGAGATCGCCAGATGAGACCGGCTCGTTCTTCATGATAGGGCTGGCTGATTACGTCAAAGCCAGGGGGGCAAGGGAATAAAAGCAGATCAAAGTGCAATAGAAGACATCAGAGAAGAAGTGCGGTTACATCAAAGCAAACAGGCTCGACATTGGGTCGCAATGGCAACTCGAGGGGAAAGGATCGTAATAAGAGGAAGATCATTGGGCATAAGGCGAGACCCAGGGAGAGCGAGAGGTCAGGGCAAAACGGACAACTACGGACCACTAGCCGGAGCCGTTGTGGCCCAGGCCGGTAAAGCTAACTGCAACGACGATGGATTGAAGCTAATGAGACGTGCCGTCGAGGTGAGACCTCAGCCCAAAGTGGAGAGGTGCAGTTCGCTGGAGAGCTACAGCGTGCAGTAGCCCCGAGATCGGAAGCCGCCGGGGCAGCAGATCGTCGCCTATCGTCGGCGTAAGACGGCCAGGGGTGACCTCGGCCCCGTCGCCGCTGCAACCGTGCGGGTGGTGAAGGAAGATATCTTAATGCTTCTGTTAATGGTGGGGGTGCTGGCTGTGCTTAGTTTCTGGTCAGGCTTGCGAGAATTCTCTTGCTCACTGCTGTCTTGTGTTCCAGTTGTGGCTGGCGTCTCACCCCGTTACTGCAATACCGCCTGTAGGTACCTATAGGCCCCACGAAGCACTGGCCAGCTTCTATCATCCATCCCTGAACGCTGCAGGTAACAGCCGAAACGGGGCCTCGAGGGCGATCACTGCAGCCGACACGGTGCGTGTGGGCAGTGGTTCGTTCAGAAGTCATAACGCGGCGCATTATTCCTCCCACATGAGACAGGGCAAAACAGGGAACATGCATGATTCAGTTCGGTCTAGCCCTCTCGGAAGCACATACATTCTCGGATATTATGGCCTAACTACCCGATCGTCGCCTTCACCCACGGCTTCCAGACCTTGTCAATGCCCTCCTGGAACCTCCAGTTATCCCAATTAAAGTCAAACAGCGCCCACGTATCGTCCACCTCCTGCTTGCCCGACCTCACGCGGTAGCTTCCCGCGAGAGCCCACACGGCCCAGCTCACGTCATTTTCCGTGGTGAACTCCCGCAGGCACTGGATGTACGCGCTGCTCAGCAGACTTGCATCCTGCGCGGTGCCAAATTCGGTCATGGCAACGGGCGTCAGTCGTGACGCCGGTCGGCATGGGCCGAGCCAGTGATTCTCCAGCAGGGCGCAGTCCTCCGGAGGATCCATTCCGAGAGCATTGAAGCCTGCGCGGTACAGCTGTGCCTTGATGATACCGCAGCTTCCCATGTCGAGGTCCTCCGTCATGGTGTACAGATGCAGCTCGTAGAATACCTTGTCTCCCCACGCGTGGTCCGCCAGATTGAACACCACTGGATCCATTCTAGGCGCTTCTCGGTTGGATACACACATGTAGCAAGGTGCCGAGAGCAGGTTTGTCCCGCTTGTAAGTGCAGAAAGATCTTCATCAAACTGCAAGCCCGACCAAGAGATGAGCAGGTCTGGGTTTGCCTTATGGATGGCATCGGACCCAAGAGTCATGTTTCCGACCAGGGTCATCCAGTTGTATCCAAACTTGGGGTAGTTCTCAACCCAAGGCTGGCGCAGCTCATTCACCAGCGCCATTGACACGATGTTGTCATGCTGGGCAGCCCAGTCGGCCACGTAGCTCAGCGCCCTTGTCCAGTTGGCCACAGAGAAGTCCTCATCGCCGAACCAGGCGCTTCCATCAGCGTGACCGCAGCACCAGCCCGCCTTGGCAATGTGCATGTCCGGGTGGACGTAGATGTGGCGCTCGGCAGCAAGATTGACGATGTCGCTCCAGATCTCGAAGCGGCCCGTCTCGCGAGTCCACTTTGGGTTGTGCTTGATCATGTTCTCCACGACTGATGTGCCGTTCTGCTCTCCCATCGCTGCAATGATGGCCTTCTCGATGGAAATATCCTCTCCTCCTGCCTGGTATATCTCATCGACCATCTGGGCAGAGTAGCCCATTCGAAGGAAGTTCATGCCCAGACCTGCGACATCGTCTAGGATGTCCGACGCAGATTTCTTCTCGAGGCCTTCAGGAATCATACTTTCACCTGCGGCCAGGTTAGCCTGTGTTAAACAACCCAATGTCAACTCTGGGGCATTGACGAACCAGACATGGGCCAATTGACTCCCGCAAATTTAACCTTGTCTCCCTTCGCGTTCACAATATCTCTGCCTTCGGTTTTGAAGGGCGCGTATGGCCAATCTCTTGGACAGTTCCCGTTGGGGGCAGCCGATCCATGGCCAAGGAATACAGCCAGCGCTGCCAGGGCCAATCCCGAGAGCCACACCATCTTGTTTCCTAGAATTGAGGTCGGGGGAGAAGGAGGAGGCAGTACACGTCCCGGACGAACGTCTTTTTCGCGTGCCGGCCGCTCAGCTGGCGAGACGGCATCGGAGCTGGCCATAGTACTTATACATGCAGCATGACAGCGGTCAGTTCAATGCCCGAGCTCCAACTTTCCCAGGGTCCCGGTCCCAGGCTCAATTGAGTTTCCCCGCAAAATCCCCCAAGGGCGAGGAGGTCATTGTGTGTGGAGAAAAGGGCGGGTAAATCACCATTCTATGGAGCCAGCTTCTCTCGGTCCATCCCCAACAAGGCCAACTGCAAACGATTTGACAGCGGATTTTGACGTCACAGGACCCAATTGCCGGGCTCTTCTATCGCGAAGGGCCGATTTCTGCCTGGTCGCGATTCCACCACGCACCAGGCGCGCCAATCATGCCCGCAATTCGGGGAGAGAGGCCTACGACGGGCGCCGGGTCAATGCCTGGGGAAAGACTCACCGAGAGGACATGACCTGCCTGATGAATGTTAGCTCTCCGCGCCGGTTTCTTGATCTTGAGGGCTCAATGAACGGCCGGGCCCTGCTTCTTTGCAATTCGCAAGCGCTCGTATCAGTGGACAACGGCGGCAGCCCAAGGAGGGCTTAGCCTCGAAACGATATTAGCATTTTCTATATTCGATTGGAACCTATTGCTTTGGTACTTCTAGCTTGGTTGACGCCGGCGCAGACTGGTTCTCTTGCAGGGCGAGGACGATCTGCGTGAGCTGGTCTATCTTCCGATGGAGCTCGCCGAGTTGGGCTTCCACGGCTGACTCGTCGCCGACTTCGTCCTCCAGCATGAGACTGCGCTTCCTCGCCCTGTCCTTCCCGGCGGACGACTCTGCATACGTGGACTGACGACGAGCGGAACGGGGGCGTATGACCGCGTTGTTCGACCGCCCATTTTGCCCGGCATGTGAGCTGCTGTCCTTCAACCTTGCGAGCTCGCTCTCGAACACGTCGTGTCGGAAAAGCTCATATAGCTTAATCACGCCGACGAGCGGCAGGTGGGTGATCCTCAGCAGAACGATTCGACCCTTCCGAATCGCGCGTGACTTGCCGACGAGGAGGGCCCAGGGGCGGAAGATGAGCAGAGCCAGCAAGTTGAAGGGCGGGTAGAAGTGCACCAGCCGGTTGCTCGTCGACGCCTCGAGGACGTACACGGAGTAGACGTAGAGGTACTCCTCGCGGGCGCGGCTCGTGACCTTCATGAAGCTGTTGGAGAGCATACCCGTCAGGGAGCCGAGGAGGAGGAAGTTGGTGAGCGTGACGAAGAGGATGACGAGAGGGGGGCCGAAGAGGGGGTCGATCTCGCTCATCATCTCGAACCCGATGTAGCTCGACCCGAAGAAGATCTTGGTCAGGATCATGGCCATCTGGGCGAAGCTGAATACCTTTCTCCCCAGCAGCGAGAAAGTTGTCAGGAAGCCCATGTAGCATATGACGACGAGGACCATGAACTTGACGAAGTCTTTGCCCATCTCCTTCAGGCACGGGATTAGGGTGCCCCAGTAAGGGCTGAGGCTCAGGATGGAGCAGATGCGTGGGACCATGAAGAGGGCTTCGAGAGCGAGGATGTCGAATGCCCAGCCGCTGAGGTTCGAATCGTCGAGGCACAAGCCAGTTATCCCTAGACAGTTAGGGTGATGGGAACATCAAGGTATATGGTATCAACTTACTTAGTGCAGCAAAGATGAATCCAATCAGGATCATGGCGACATCAAAAAGGTTCCAAAAATCTGTCGCATAGAATATTGAACCAGCGTCGTACCACTCATTCAACTCGGCGGAGCAGAAGGACAGAAACCAAGCCAGCAGGGCGACTTCTGCACCTGTCATCTGACTTGTCTTTCCACGTATGAGAACAGCGTAGTAAAGGCATAGGAAAACGGCGAAGAAGGCGACTTCATAGTACTTCATGTACTTTGGCACCCGCAGGCGCGAAAAGGGATCAGTCGTCTGCCGGTCGTAGAAACGAGGCTGCTTGGTGGACTTGGTTGAGAGCGAGTCCCAGTAGACGATGTGACCATTCCAGATACCAGTGATTATCTTCTGAACAACGTGCTGGCTCATGAACCGCTTGGCGTCTGCGATCGCCGCAATCTCGAGCGCGTTGAGCCCTTTGAAGGCCACGGCAGGGTCGTTGAAATCCACGGAGCTCTCGTCCTGGTTTCGGCTCAGAAACGATAGCGAGCCGAGGAGCTGTACTCTCTTGCCGGAGCTTCCGGGAGGCCTGTATACACCGTCTTCGCTCTCGTGGGTGCCGAAACGTGCCAATAGTGGTGAGGTCTCGCCGTAGTGACCAGCAGTGTCAGCTTCTGCTTGTGCTAAATCGGCATCCTGGACCGCAGGGATCTCATAGAGACAATAACTGAACACATCCCGCTCGGGCACTCTGGATAGGAAACGCCACGCGACTATTTCACATGCATGTGAACGAGATAGGTCGACGCCTTGTTGCTCGTCTTCGGACGCATAGTGCCACTTTAGAGCTCTGCCAGGCTGGTCAGAGGATCTACTCATACTAATAGACGGTTCACGACTAGAACTCACAGGAGAGCGTTTACGACTGCTGGGTTCGGGGACCGGCTGTACGCGAGGTGGTCTACTAGGACGCGGAGACAGCTTCCAGCTGAGGTTGTTCTGAGCTGCTCGTAGGTGCTTGGCAGCTCGATAGCTTCACCAAAGTAGCTATATCGCGGAAAGTGATTGATTTCATTAGCTCTCTGGTTCTTGGAATGCCAATTTATCGTTTACGTAATCAAACCAATGCATCGCTTACAGAGAAAGCTTCCTCACCACCTGGCGGAATGAATCGCCGTGTTGAATATCAGGAAGTTCGATCTCATGATCCTCGAAGGGTTGCTGAGGGAGCGACATTGTCACAGCCTGGTATGGAATGCTGCGCGTAACATTGGCCGCAGTGATTGGAGGTAAGAATAATTAAAGCACAGAAAGTTCAATAGACCAAGTAAATATTATCTGATGTCCTGCTCGAGCGATAGAATGATGCTTCGCGCAATGGCTAGAGACGGTGAGCAGATGCAAGTGCATAGAGCATGGATCGCAAATTGGTTGTAAATTGATCGTCATACAATGCTAATGTTAGGCCTAAACAGTATTAAGTAATCAACATTTGGCGTTTAGTGCACTAACAACCAGGTGACATTAAAACTCCCACACCTGAGCATTATCCTGCTTATTGTCGCATCTGTGGCTAGAATTGTCATATTATTGAGAGCGAATAATGAACACTTAAGAGAGAATACGCTTTAAATTTTACATCATTATCGTTTCAAGCTATATTGTCACTATATTGGTTTCAGAAAGCGCTCTTCTGATAGATACTCCTCAAGTTGCCGTCTCATTTATTCTGTCATCAAACTCAAGTGGCTAACATCAACGTGCTCGAATGGCACGTCCAAAGGCGACGCTTGACTTAAGGCTTAAGCCAGGATATAAAGTAAGAACGTAATAGTAACCAGAGCCTAAGGGAGACTTTCGCAAGAATTGGCCAATAATTTTTTTATAAAGTAAGATAAGTCTAATGTGCAAGGCTGTCGCTCTCGCAAGTCATCTTCATCTCATAACCACACCTTGCTTATACAGTATGGTATAGGTAGTAAAACAAGCACGACACTTCACAGCTAAGCTAATGCCTTCTTTCCCTAGTAATTGGCCGGGGCTGGTATGCGTCCTTCTCTCCCAAGCACACCACGGAAACGGGCCTCACCCCCTTGGTGGTGAACTTCTCGCCCCCGATCCTACCAATGATTTCCCATTCCAAAAAATTCGCATGCTTGATATTGTTAGTCTCGTGGTCAGGGAACAGGGGAAACTCGCAAGGAACAATCATCGGAAGTCCGTTTGGCCTCTTCACGGAGGGGACTACCCTATCCGCTCCAAATCGAAGATTAATCAGTTCCCCAATGTCAACATCCGCGGGCACTTTGGACCAGGGCATCTCGATGTTTGTTTTTCCCAGTGCCCTGGCCATCTCCCATATCTTAAAGTTGGATCGCTGTTCGACGTCTCTTATTATCTTGTCAGGAGTAGCGTCCGTTAAGGAGACAATGTTTGCGCTGACCCATGTCAGAGTCATCTTTTGTGGCACATTGACGATTTCTTGTGAAGTTTTGGACCAGTCAGGGATGACTCGTACTTTTAAAGGAAAGGGGTTGGGCCCCTCAAGCTGAATGATATTAGGCAGAGTGACCTGGATATCGAAGGCAAACGAGGGTGTCGGCGACGATTTGAATAAATTCTTCAGCTTTTTGGAGGTAGAACGTTCAGCATCTCCCGAGCCTGGTATGAGTTGTCGCGACTTAACAACATGTCCTTTGTCGAGAATATCAGAGGTATCCAATGTTGTGAGAATGGGCGTAAGCTGGCGGATATGGATCGGCAGAGTTGCCTCAAACTTCTTTAGGGAGCCGTTCACAGTCGCCGTGAGCTCCGCGAAGAGGGCATATTCTATGAAAGCCTCGACTTTGCCCTTGTCATCCTTGTGAAATACATTGAAGCTGTTGGGAAGCAGTGCCGTCACTCCAGCCGCTGACGTATAAACTTGTGGTATCTCAATGCTGAACGGCCAACCCTGTGCGTCCTGGCTATCCTCAGGAATATGCACAGGGCCACTGTAGATGGTCTGCTCGATCTCAATAATGTCGTCGCGATCGCGGTTCCAGACATTGAAATTGACGTAGGAGACGTCGACCTTGGTTGTGATCTTCGTCTTGGCTCTGCCGCGTAACTTTATCGTGACTTGAGTATCGGCGGAAACTAGATGCTGGATTCTCTGAACCTCTCCGAATATTGTATCCGTAGCCACGTAGCGATGCGGCGGCGAAGTGGCCAAAAAGATGTCCAGCTTAGGACCTACATCAATCTTTGTGGTTGGCATATTGGGTATTTCGTCGTAGCAGACAGTACCGGGCTCTTAACCTCGATCTCTTCTAAGACGGGATGGACGCTGTGGACACAGGCTCACTGTTTACATAGGATGTCAATGTGTGTTCATAAACTTTGAACGAAGGAAGCACGCAGAGCTAGTAGTGAGTCACCATCTACTTGGCATTAACTGGTACGTCGAAGTTCTTATAAAAGAATGAATATTTTGAAAATCGTAAGTTAAAGGCGGCAGTGCATAGGTGCCTTGGCTTGGCACATTACAACTTCGGTCCATCAACCCCTTTCGGGGAATTATTGAATGACAACCAAGTCAGCATGGAGTATGATCACCTCGCCTCGAGCCCAGAGGAATGAGGATGCAACTGATACTTTCAGCCAACTGCAGAAATCAAAGTAGGAGTAGGGACATAGCTTCTTCATTGGATTGACAAATCGTCGGTCAACTAACATCTACAACTCGAGTTTCATCAAGGCTTTCGAGCCCATGAATAGGGCAACTCTGGGACGGGATAAAAAATACTAGACTCTATATAGGTACTTCCACCATTACCAAATCACATGGGCTTGGAGGTATCATATGTATCATTCATCTGTGCACACAGTGTTCCGGAAAAAATATGCTAGTCCATGAGATGTATATTTAAAAGACATTATCTTGTATGTATCGTTCCAATAGTGCTCTCGCAGCCGACGAAGCTGCTGCGGATGCGAATGCCTGCCATGCCTTATTCTTGTGACTATCGGCGTAATCACAAACGCCCTTCACCACGATGCAGGGCATCGTCTCCCAGACGCCGGCCGCTTCCATTTCATATGCCAAAATGCCATACGTGCCAGCAATATCATCACGGTCTTTGGCAGACTTGAGCACCGTATCTCCTGATCCAAATGGGCCTACAAAGATAGAGGGGGCTTGAGCATCATCGGGGCGGCCGGCACGCTCCATTAGTTGCTTGGTCTTGATACGCTTGCGGGTGACAAGATTCTCATCGTTATCTAAACATCCGAGCATCTTGCACGACAACCCACGGGATTCTTCACACGTAGTCTGTGTGGTGTTGCACAAGCACACGTCATCTAATGAAGCAGCAGAGTGATGTCCATGGCGGAAGCTAGCTTTGAAGAGTCGATCCTGGCTGGCTCCAGGATACTGGTAATTGGAGCTTTTTTGTTGTAATTGTTTGAGAAACAAGGCTGTGCGTTCCTCGACGCCCTGTCGCTCTAAGTCTGTACCGAGGATAGCTACCAGATTCCGAATGTTCTTGTCCGGTCTACCAAGCATATCTGCCGGGGCATCCCTCATAGCAAACTTATCAGGAAAGCGTCTTCCTAGGTCATACTGTATGACGCTGTTGCTGATTACCACATCACCGAGCAACATCTCTTGTCCAGCCCTCGTTTGTGGGACTCCACCGCAGATGCCGATGAGCAGCACAAGCTTTAGCCCTAAGTAGCTCATAGCCAAACTTGTAGTTGAGCTTGCAGCACTCGCCTTCCCCATATTGGAAAGCAGTACTAGTACAACATTGACCCTGCCGATGCGGCCCGTCTTATACCTATTAGTGTCACCCCGAGCACTTGAAGCACCACTATGCTCGTCCCAGAACTCGTCGACGAGTAGTGAGACGGCATTGTATTCAACCGGTAATGCACAGACTATCGCAACCTCAAAGTCATCTCGTGACGTCGGAGGAGAGACATTCGCCTCCGTCAATAGAGGGTTTCCACCACGCGTATCGCTCGATAGACTGTTCATGAAGTCCGGGGCGCGGTGTCTCTTTCTCTGAGGCAGCGTAAAGTCGGGTCCCATGAATCTCGGCGGTGAGTCAGAGGGACTCATCGTTTTCGTTCTATCGTATTCTGTTGCCGCGTGAGGAGATTCTGACCGTCGCCGTTTCTTTCGTGGAGTGGACTCAGCAAGACCTTGCTGTAGTTTGCAGACGACGTTTTTGTACAGCTTCCTGCGAATCTTTTTTTCCGCATCCTTAGTGTCAATATTCCCGGAACCAAGCGCTTTGGCGATGTCTTGGTGCACTAAAAGACAACCGCTGATGGCTTGTAGTTGAGAATCTTGCCTATCCCGTTCCAGGGTTTCGACAACATCTAGAAGCTTCGTCCAGGAATCTCGAATCTGGCGGTCATCCGAGCCTATGTCAAGATCAATGGCTTGGCCACAGTATATCTCGAGGAGGAGCTTAGCAAATGACAGTAGGATTGGATGAGGGTGTCCCTTGCGGAAGTTGTAGGGGTTGGGTGTGGCCGGCAATCTTGACTTAAAAGCTAGATAAGGAGGACTCTCTTTCCTACTGGACTCGAGAAAGTAGATTCGATTTGAGTCGACCTCAGCGTCAAAGAAGTCCATCAAACAGAACCCCAATTTGACAGCAAGTGCCTGCTTCTCCCGAGTACTGAACCTACAAGGTGTCAGACCCTCGAGAACGGCGCTGATATCTCTAGAAGGAGGCTCAAAGACGCCTTTGGCGAGAAGCTGGCCGAGAGATTCTCTCCGAGATTCAACGGCGGGAAATTTCGATTCTTCCCACGCTCCGAACAGCGCGTACTTCTCCATGTATAGAACCAGGGCAGCTCCGTGATTAAGGCACTTTGGGAGAACAGTACGCATGTCAGGGATTGGTAGGATGGAGGACTCAGTTCTGCATATGGCTAGTGAGCAAAGACCGCCGTTTAACGCGGTGACTATGGTAATACTCACAAATTTAAAGATTCGCACCGCGCCTCCAGCCATGACTCGAGATCTGGGCATCTTGACAGCATCATCCGCAATGTTGGCAACGCAGCGTCTTGATCGGTGTCTTCCGTGAGCCGCAACAACACTTCGTGAGCAGTGCCACATTTAAAGTGCTTGAACAGCGTCTCGAGCGCAAAAGTGGCTTGCTTTCGAACCCTCGCCTTTTTCCAAGCATCTTTGTTCTTGGCCTTCTGCTTCCGAGGGGGCTGTGGAATGGGTTCTGAAGCAGGAGGCGCTAACAGCTTGCTGAGAGCTCGGGAACACTCTGTGGCTATGTCCAGGCAGTCGTAAAGCTCGTCAACGCTGTTAGGAAGTACAAAGAGAGCAGTGTCGGGACCGTGAACAAGATTAAATGTCTGAGCTACCGAGTCGAGGAATGGAAGCAAAGCCCGTAACCTAGGATAAGAGGAAGCACCCACCTTCGAGCTCCTGGCGATCAATTGCTCCGAGACCAGGTCCTCGAGGCGAAGACACAGCTTCCTCAACGCTACCTGGCATGCTCCAAACTCAACATCATTCACACTCTGTGGGATGTCTTGGTGGATAAATAGGCGACGTAGCTCCACCTCGATGTGCTCTACGGTAGGATGCACTGGTCCATGACAACCAAGTGGCTTTATCCGATGACCAGCTTTCCTCTGGCCAAACGAGCGCCCCAGCTCACGTATCAGGCGCCACTCAATTGACTCGATGAGATACGGCATTGCATCCCGTAGTATTAGGCCGTCACTGGCGATGCACAGCCGGCGGCTCAAAACAGTGCAGTATCGCAACGGAAGGGTGGTATGAAATCAAACGCATCTAGGTGGATGATGTTTTCCCCCGCACGAGCCGCTGACCAAAGATATGCAAGTATGCGAATCAGGTGCCTTATCAAAGACAAGGAAGAGAGGGATGATGACTGGCCAGTTCCACATGCACCCCTCATGCTGATTCCATACATAGTCTCCTACGGCCATTTTGACCTCGCTCTCATCAATAATCACCGAACTGGGAGATACTTCTTTGGCGCCGCAGCTACCACCGTTAGCTCCGGAAGGGTCATGGAACCGGGTGAGGAAGGCGAGGATATCCTCTACAGACTCGGCACGGAATGTGAAGGACTCTTTGAGGATGTACATGATGCCCTAGAGAGCGCAAAATCCGCGACTGGGCTAGACGAGCTCTGTTCCGACTTTCAGCAGCGATTTGCAATATGGACGGCACACCTCGGCGTCTTTGCTCCCAAGAACCAGTGCCTCGATACTCGTCTTCGAAACTTCCCAGATCTCCAAGATGTTACAGTTCGGTTACTTGACCTTCTCCGCCGATGTCTGTATCAGTGGAAGTCGGCCACTGACTCTGCCGTGGAAGAGAACATACAACATCTTCAAGTCACTTTACATGGAATCGATGATACGTTGGCTCGACTGAACAATCTCGGTGTCACTATCCGCCAGTCAAGTGCAGACAAAGTCGATTTGAAAGCCAAGAAACTTGCTTCAGGCTCCAATTCAACTTTGTTCAGATATCTCAGTGCACAGGCCGTACAGACGCTGTATCCTGGGGCATCTCAGGCTCTCAAGGACTGGCTTGTCCAATTCATGACAGTGAGATGGGGTCGGGTGATGCATCTGAGCAAACGTAACGAGGTCTTAAGTAAACGTCGAGTTACCCATGCAGCAATGGACACTATTCCTGAAGTTGTGCCTGACCTACTCACTTTCACGACACAAAGACCCCAAAAGTTTGCTCATGCGTCTGATGTTCCGCTAACCAGCCGCCCGAAATTCCCTCTCGCCCCAAGCGGCCAGTCCGATTTATCTTCCATCAACATACAGCACATTTGGAGCCGAAATAAACCTCCAGACGAGCTTTCCACTCGGATTGCCAAGACGATGTCAGTGCAAATCAAACAGGGGAACTATCCAAAACCTCCCGGCAACGACATGGGCAGCAATTACTTTCCATGTCCTTGGTGTTCGGAGTTGATTGACAGGAGGTTACTTACGGACAACGCATGGCGGTATGTGAAAGTCGTCGTGACCCGTGCAACTACAAGGATAGCGATTCCGAACTTAGACAAAACGTAGCCAGCTAACGAAAATTACTGTAGACGGCATATAGACCGAGATTTTAAACCTTATGTTTGTCTCTCCAGGGATTGTGCCGAGGCAGACAAGGGCTATCCAAATTTCTCTCAGTGGTTTGAGCATATGCAACTACATGACCGACGATGGCATCAAAAGTTCTACCCCACCCTTACTTGGATATGTACAGTCTGTGAAACAGATAGTCATGTCTATGACACACCACAATCCCTATACTCCCATCTCCAGGAGTCTCATCTGGACGAGTTTACGGAGCCACAGCTACAAACCATCTCACGCCAGAGTAAGAAGGAGCAGGAAAGAGTCTGGGACGACTGCCTACTATGTTTGTTTACAGTAGAAGGTGACAATCATCCGGAGCATGAGGCAGGCCAAAAACGGCAAAAGGGACCGCTGACAAATGATCACACAAAGAGCCTTAGAACCTCTCTCGCGATGAGGAGCGCTGGTTCACACGGCCATACCAGCGTAGCTCTAGCTGCCCGCCCAGATTCTGACACTGACTCTGATTCTAGCTCAGATTCGGAGACCCCCGAGTCGAGTGTTAACAAAGGTCGCTCAATAGCTGTCGCGAGACACATTGCGAGTCATCTGCAGATGCTGATGCTCTTGACACTCCGCTTCACTAGTCTGATGAACGACTCGGGGAATGACGACGAGGTCAACAGTGAATCAGTTGAATGCGACGAGGAGGAAAACCTCCCGATCAGTGACCCAACGAATGATTTGTTGTCTGACTTAGACGACGATATGGGCACAGCATCGCTTCCAGATGCCGAGACGGACAAGGAAGACGATATTCGAAACGACAACGTTGAAGTCCCAGATTGTGATATTGAGATCAGAATTCCCTCGAGGTACGACGGCTTGACTGTGAAAGACGATCATTTTCTGCAGGGTGTTCTTCAGTCTGGTGCTTATCAGTCGTGGCGGGACAGCCATGACGGAGACGAGAGCCATACGGTACATGGCATCGAGGATGCCAATCCGGGCCCTGACGAGCGCAACCTCGAGCGGCAGGACTCGGAGGCCTTTCACTGGGCAAATACTCACGCTTCTGAGAAATCCCCAGTGATTGCTTGGGTCAACAGGACCGTAAGGGGCGTTGTCAATAGGCTCTTTGGTCTGAACCCCGAGTTTGTCGATGAGACCGACCAGGTGAGAGAGCGTGCACCCGCTACGAAACCTATTTGTCTACATATTCCCCCTAACCACCGCCAAACAGGAAGTCAACCCAGACGGCCTAGCTAAGACTAAAGACGAGTCTGTCAACAATGTTAAGAAAGACTTTAAAGGCACCCCAGCCGAGCGATTCTTCAAGAATAACCCCAAGTTCATTGAGGAGCTGGCCGAGAAGGCAGCCTCCTTAGCCGATGACCCAACGACCCCGATCTGCAACAAGGACCTGCTCCCCAAGACCGTCCAGGTCACCATGCACCAGAACGTAATCTACTGTGGTATTTGAAGATTCCATAAACAAGAGGTAATTGACTAGCTTCGCTGACATGAGCCGTTCAATTAGATGACAGCTCCTCCATGAAGCGCGAAGGCCGCTGGGACTCGCAGAACCAACTGATCAACCGCATCGCCCGTGTCACCACGCGGATCCTGCCCGAGGGCGAGGGCGTCTACATGCGCTACATCAACCAGGAGATCCGCAACTCTGATAGCCTCAAGTTTGAAGAGCTCCTCGACGTCGTGAAGCCGCTGATCTTGGGCGGCGACACGCCCATTGGCACCAACCTCAAGAGCAAGGTCCTGCAGCCGCTCGTGTATAACAAGCTGCCGAACAACCTCAAGAGGCCGCTGCTGGTATCTGTTATTACCGACGGTATGCCGGAGCCGGAGCCTAAAAATACGTTTGTGGATGCGATCGCTGAGTGTGGCGATAAGCTCGAAGCGGCTGGCCTTCCTCGCGAGAGTACGTTTATTAAAGCTTGTCCTCGTTTTTGTCCTCGTTTGAACGATTCTTACTGGTGCTACCGTCTAGGTGTCAAGTTCATGATTGGTCAAGTCGGTTCCGCCAAAGCCGCAACTAGGTTCCTCCAGGACATCAGCAAGGAGTCCAGGATTCAAGACGTCGTATTCGTAGCCCCTGGTAAGCGATAGATACTCTGTCTCTTGGGGATTAACCCTGCTGATAACACGACTTCAGAAAGGCTGGATGTCATAACCTCAAGGCTGGAAGATGATTGGAAGATAGATGAATGGGTACGTGTTCACATGTTTTATTGACTGCCGAGGTTTTGTATCCTGAAGCTAACAGTTACCCCTACAGCTCATTGAGACGCTCTATGCGCCTATTATGAAGGGTGAGGGCAGGAAGAAACAGTAAAGATCTATTCTACTGTAATAATATAACAATTGGGTGAATCGGATGAAATTATGACTTGGATGCTGGTATAATAGTACCCCTTAGGCAATAAATATATATAATCAGAGTGAATCTGTGAGAATATAGTTGTGATTAAGAGCGTAGTCCCGATCGTTGGCGTACGGATCCTTATAGTACCCGGCCCTGCTATTAACGGTCTTCGGATACAGCCACGCACAGCTTGCCGTGCCATCAGACGAGAACAAAGCAAGATTGGACTTGAGTACCTCCTGTGCCCTATGCCCGTACGATCTGTCCTCGGTGAGCTTTACGTAGTGGTGCATAGCAATAGCCGTCAGCGTGCTCCAATAGTACGGGAAGACGTCTCCCCACATGCGGTCCTTGCCAAACTAGTAGCCGTCCCAGTGGCGATGGCGACGTCGTACACAGCAGGTAGTAGTCGGGCTGTTATCCGCCAAAGAGGAGGAGGAGATCGAAGTGTATCTCTTCCAAGCATGCGCCTTTCTGGTTGATTGCAATATCTTTCAATAATTTGTCTAACAATTAAGCAGGTAATGCGTGATCTTGAAAGCTGATGGTCCAATGTAATGCAGGGTGGTAAGGCAGCTTGAAACATAGGCATCCTTCCATGTTCCCAACCGCTCCCAAAACAGGCGCAACACGCACAAACTCACTGAACATTACTCCCGCGAAATCTAACTGTATCTCCCTCAAGTGCGTAAGCCTCTCTGCTTTATGAATCCATGCTTTGAGAAAAATTAACATTTGTATGTGAAGAACGGCCGTCGTCACGTGATGTGTTTTTCGATTCTCCTACTGCAGCTAAGCCGTACTCGAATGCCAACGATGTTGTAAATCTCAAGTCATCTTTCCTTATCTACATACAAAATCTTGGCTCTCATGGGCTGAAGGCAATAGTCGCTTGAATTGGGGAATGTCTCATTATTCCCCTTTTTCCTCGTAATGCAGCAATCCGGGCGCCCGCTGAAACGCCTTCGGCGGGATACCCGGAGATGCTTTGAATGTTAGACAACCCCGATTTATCCAATGAGTGATACGACTGGGCTGTGATACTTACACTATATAGGCCGGCGGCGCAAGGTCAAGTGCCAGCTAACCACAGAAGCTGTCGATGTCTGCTCGCAATGCGTCAAGACTGGCGCGACCTGCTCCCTCGACCCTCCACAAGACCAAGCGGCAAGTCCAGAGCTGCATCATCCGATCGATTCAACGACAGCGCCATCAGAGCATTCTATGCGGCTTGAACGTATCGAAAACATACTCCAAAGGGTTCTCGAGGTCCAGCAGCAGCTCGTAGCCGACCAAGTGCAAGGGTGGCATCAAAGCACGGCCACCCAGCCATCATTTCTAGAAATGCCACTTATCACAGATGAAGTCCCCATCGCCGGGCCTACATCGATGGCTATTACCTCGGGATTATCACTCAGAGATGAATCACTGGTGTCGACAATGAATCATGCCATTGGGTCAACGGGCTTCTTTAAATACAGCCAAGCTGAGCAAGAGCTAATCAGTCTCATCCCAAGTCAACGAGATGCGCTCTTGATCTGCACGCATACTATGGCGTGGGTCATGGATTTCGCCCAGTAAGCTTTGCAAGAAAACAAATCATATCCGATTCTTCCTTCTAAATCAATGGCAGACCACCGGGTACATTCTGGCGGCCCAAGGAGCCAATCCCGATCAGATTACCGCACACGGTGGTGGGCTCTCACATTTTGATTGTTGCACAGATGCTGCTATACTTTGCCCTCTGCCTGCAACAGCTTCCTCCAGGCTTTGATAGCGCCGATTTGGATATTGGAAACCCAGAGGAGACAGCCCAGTCTTACATCCAGGCAGTGACTCGTGTAGTATTGGCGAATGACGAGTTGGCTTGCTCTGTTCAAGGAGTCGAATGCCTTTCTCTGCTAGGGATGATACACATAAATGAGTTTCATATTGGAAAGGCTTGGTCAACATTTAGGCGAGCTCTCGACCTTTTGCGTCTCCTCGGATTTCATTCAAGTTACTCTACTTCAAACCAGGACCACTCACTGGACCTCGCAACACAACGGCACCTCTGGCTTTCTGCAGTTATGGGAGATTGCTTCTGCAGCATGTTTCTCGGATTTGAAACTGCGAGCGGTGCCAAACCATTCGCGGATATGAACTTCGTCGATTCAGTAGGAGAGGATGTCATCTACCACCAGCTATGCATCCTCTCCATCCAACTCACAGGCTCCGATCGTATTGGCCCCGATGACAAGCTCCGTGATACCTCGATTATCAACCAAAATCTTGAAAGACTAGAAAGCTCAATGCCTTCCTCGTGGTGGAAAGCACCAAAAATGCCTTACTCTCGATCTATTGAAGCAGCCAGAGACTATGAGCGCCTTACTTGCCAAGTGTGGTTCCTCTCGCTAAGGCTACTAACGAATCTCCCTTTTATCAATGAGACGGATTCAAACACAAAGAAGGGCGCCTTCAAAGAGCTTGCATTAGAGGCTGCGAGGATTATTCTTCACCGACACGAGCAACTTGTTCACCGTGCCGGAAATACCCAGCTTCATTGTCGTGTGTTAGACATAGCCAGCTTCATTGCTGCGGCTACCATTATCCTAGCCCACGCCATTTCATCGGGGTCCGGTGCACGACAAGGCTCTGATATGACACTTGCAGAGGGCACTGCTGATTCATTCACTGCAATCAGCCAAAACTGCCCGAGGGAAAAGGTCGCTAAACAAGGCTCTGAGGCTCTCCGAGCGCTCCTGATTGCGGGTATTAAAGGGGGTCACGAAGAAGGCGATGCATCCTCGATCGCAAACGGCGGGCAATCAAACGAGCTGTGTCCATCAACTGATAGACATGATGGTGCTCGGGAATTGCTGTCCAGGTTGTTTCGCAAATACTTGGCACACAGTCCAGATGCCATCGACCTCATTGACCAAGCACTCAATCAGAAGAAATCTGAGCCGCTGTTTCCCATTGCCGAAGCCAATCTTCTCGATTTTCTCTTAAGTGACTAGAAACTCTCACAGTAGCGACTTGGTAGTCACTCAACAGGATCTACGCTGAAGCGTGGAGTCCCACCAGCTCTCTACCCTTCTCGACGATCCGTTCGTTCATGATCACAGTGTCCGGCTCCTCCCCTTCAAGTGCAAGATAAACCATGTATGCACTGAGTTCCCTAGCCCGCACACTCCATGATTTTCCCATGGCGAGCTCCTGTAGGCTTGCAGTCCATCCGTTGTCGCGAAGCACCCCACCCGGCCGCACAATATACAAATGGAACCAAGGCTTGTGTCTCTCTGCAAGCTCTATTGCGCGTGTCTCATGGAGCCCCTATCACGAATGAGGGTCAGCGACATCATTCTTCATAGTGTGGACAGTGTGTCAGACCTTTAGTTTTCTTGGGTTTTGCATAAAGTATAGGCTTTGAGACTGGTCCTGAACCGACAACTTCCCGCTGAGATGAACATAAATGAACGGGAGATTCTCTCCGGGCGAGGATTGAGTGCGAATCTTAATAAACGCATTCTGAAAGGCAAGGGGATACTGGAGAGTGACATCTTCGCTTCCTAGATAATCCCCCATGGCCCTGCCATGTCCAGGGACGTTAGATGCGTCTTATTTGAGCGGCAGTAGGGGTATTCCATTGGGCAGCACGGAAGCTTACCAGATCATCGCCGCAGCATCTCCATGAGCATTAAGGAGCTCTTCAGGCCAAACTGAGAAATCCTTCATTATTTCAACATGTAGCTTTGGATCTGAAGTGACTGTATCGGGCAGCTCTCGTCTCGTAAATGCAACTACAGTGCTGATATCAGGATGGGCGAGACATTGTTCTAGCACAGCACCGCCGATGGTGCCTGTGGCGCCGGTGAGAAGAACTTTGACCATTTCAGTGTCTTTTTTTCAGAACAAGGACTGAGAATAAGGAAGGAAAGTTGGATACGGAAAAAGAAACTTCTGTCTATTTATTTCCCCTGCAGAGCTCTCGGCCGCCGTTGCGCGAGTGCTGGCCATGACGAAATGCATGTTGCCTCCTCGGCCGAGTCGGCCGACGGAGTCGCCCATATAAGCGCCAGCGAAACGACCAGCAGAAATCTGAGAGGAGCGAGTAGAATCGCCCAGGATCATATTGATAAGTAAATTCTCTGGAATTTGTTACATCTTGGGCGGTAAAATGGGTTCAACACTCTCCCAGATATGGCCACCAGCGCCAAAGTTCACAGAGCGAGATGTGCCTGATCAGAGTGGAAAGGTGCCAACACTCGACGCCCTCATCTAACACTTGAATTCTTATAGCTGATATTTGTAATAGGTCTTCATCATCACAGGCGCATCCTCGGGCGTCGGCAAAGAGCTGGCTCGACTCGTTTTCGCTCTCAATGCCAAGGTCTACCTCGCCAGCCGCTCAGAGTCCAAAGTACGGCAGACAATATCTGACATCCAGACCGAGAATTGCGACTCCAAAGGACAGCTAGAATTTCTTCAGATCGATCTTGAGGACCTGGAAAGTGTGAAGCAAGCTGCCCAATCGTTCTTGCAAAAGGAAAAGAGGCTGGATATGCTTTGGAATAACGCAGGTGTCATGCTACCACCGTCCGGGCCGAAGACCAAGCAGGGATACGACATGCAACTGGGTGTCAATTGCCTTGCCCCGTTTCTTTTCACTCGGCTTCTGACTCCGATCATGAAAGAGACGGCTAAAGGAGCAGAAACTGGCTCGGTGCGAGTTCTCTGGGTCTCGTCCTCTGCCGCGGAGCTCTTTTCTCCCGTTGGGGGTGTTGATCTAGACAATCTGGACTACCAAAAGCCTCAATCGAATCATGTTCGGTATGCTGTTAGCAAGGCCGGCATGGTTCTTTTGGCGCAAGAATATGCCCAACGTCACCGTGAAGATGGTATCATCAGCGTGGTAAGATTCCCAAGACCAAGCTCAGAAGTATGTGTCGGCTGCTAAATCTATGCGATTGATCCAGGCGATGAATCCAGGGAATTTGAAGTCAGAGTTGCAGCGACACGTGCCAGGGATAGTATCAAAGATCTTCCATTCAATGAGCTGGGAGCCCATCTACGGCGCCTATACGGAGCTTTACTCGGCGTTCTCTCCTGATATCACGGTTCAGAATTCCGGCTGCTGGGGTAGGCAATGTCCGTCGATCTATCAGCTGCCCATATTGACAATCCCATAGTTATCCCCTGGGGGCGATTGGCCCCGGTACGAAAGGACCTCCGAGAAGCTGGACTGGGAGTATCGGAAGGCGGAGCTGGGAACGGAGAAAAGTTCTGGGTTTGGTCCGTAAATGAACTTCGTGCCCACGGGGTGGAATAGGTTTCTAGAAATGATTCCTTGTACAGAACATATCACAGTGATACTTATGCATCTTTGTATTAGAAGGCTGGGATAGAGGATACCGATAGCACACGCTCTCAGTTAGTCTGGAACGGACCAGTACTATCCAAGTCCCCGACTCGAAGCAAATGGATCCGGGGCTCAAGATGCAAGACAGCATGATGCCCTGATCTAATGAGATGACGAGATCGATTCAATAGTTCTGTGGGCCAGATGATCTGCTCCGGGCCCGTCCTGCATGTGAATCAAGATTGATGCCAATGAACGGGCATGTTCATGCTGAAAAGTGGTGGCTGGAGGCGGTGGGCAGATGCGTTGGAAGCTTATGAATGAGCTGGCAGTGGATACTGGAGGGAGCTAGGCGCCATTAGGTCATCGAGATCAGGTACATCTGCTGGTACCTGAACAAGGGGCCGATATAAAACGTGGCACACCAGCGCTTCGCTCGGTTTCTGATCCATAGACTATAGAGGCAGAACTCATTCATTCATAGCAAATAACCATCAAATCAACAAAAAATCAGTATTATTTTACGTATTGTCTTTGTTTTTCTATATTCTTTATGTGCTGGTTGTTCTAATAGGTGTTGGAATATAGTCGTCCGCCAGTCTGAGCTGCGCTTTATGTCATCCAATGGCCGAGGTACCTGGCGGCAACTGGAACAAAGAGCAGGCATTGCACGGCCAGGAGTTAGGAGGTAATTAGACCCCATCAACTCGCAAGATAGATCAGATGATTCGCGAGTTAGGGGAACCCAGTGTAGGGGCAGAAACTGAATTTGAACGCATTGCGTAATTATCTCATCGGCTCATCCATCTCCTGGGCTGCGTTTGCATGCTGTTCGCATGCCAGCTGTAAGGTCCTGTACAGCTGCCCGAACGGCCGTCCAAACTGGGCAGTTATTAGTACTTAACCCCCCTGTGTCAGGTACCTAGGGCACCATTTCTTTAGGGGACCCAGCCACCCGCGTCCGGTTTGCAGCAGTTGAGCGCACTACTGCAGCGAAGCGACAGGCCCCAGCACCTGACTGGCTGAAATAAGCGTCAAGGCCAATGGAGTCGCGGCCGATGGAGAGAACCAAACTGCCAGCTCCACCCAAGCTTTGCACCGTCCCTTTCATTCTTCCTTGTCATCAAGGGGCCGCCGTTGATTGCTGATCCATTCATTCTTCTTCGACTCTTTTTTTCAACCCTCACCGACTCCGACGTCGCCTGGAGCGTGCGTCTTCACTCGTCACCCTGTTCCTTTCTTTGTTCTCTTCTATTCGATCCCACCGCCCCCCTCTCTGAATGGTTGCGTAATCCACCGGTTGGGACTCGGGACTTGGAGGCGTGCGCAAAACGGCCAACCGAGTGGTTAGCTTTCGGACCTACATACATCGCCTGAGCACTGCAGGGGAAACCAGGTGACCAGTCAGCTCCCAGCCATGGCCGCCAACCGAGATTCAATCGACTCGCAGCTCTACCAGACGCCTGCACGCACTCCCGCCTTTCGCCGTCACTCGTCTAGGAGATCCGTGGCCAGTCCCGTTAGCTATGGCGGTAGTTTTAGCAGTCGCGACGATGAGCGCGATACGGATCGCTCACCGCCGATGCTACCCACCCCCAGCTCTGGCTCTCGACTAAGCTACTCCAGCTCCGTCACGCCTCTGAGGAAAGCCATGCTTCATGATGAGCACGACATCATCCCAACCTCACCCGGCAGGATTGATTTGGCTAGGCGCTTGAGCAACCTGGCGCGGGAGCTCACCCACGATGGCGAGGTTGATGAGCTTGCCCTCGAGACCCAGCTCGACCAGATGGAGAAAGTCTTGGCAAGCGGCTCCCCGTCGCCATCGCCATTCTCGGCGACCAAGCATCGTCGGCCGCACAGCTTAGACATGCGCAGCTTCAGCGACTTTGCCAGCTCGTTGCCAAGCTCTCCGGCTTCTTCATTTATGCGCTCCCGCTTTTCTGACGTCTCGTCGTCGCTGTACAAGGTCGAGGAACCCGCTCACGAGGATGAGGAAGGGGATGAGACCAGGGAGTTACACCAGGAAAGCCTCACCATCGCCCAGGCAAATAAAATTATCGCCGAGGCCGGCAAATTAAATGAGGAGCTCACGACTATTGTTCACAACCTCACAGCCCGTCAAGAGGAGGCCAACGTGCGTCAAATTCCACCCCGGCATCTCGTCATGTTTCTAACATTTTCACGTCTAGCATATTCAAGACCTTTTGATTGAGCGAGCTGAGCGGGCCGCCCAGCGAATTATTTTCCTTCAAAACCGCATCGGCTATCTGTAAGTTGAACTCAAGCTGAGCGCTTCAATCACTGCAGTACTAATGCCCACATAGTGAGAAAGAACTGCAAGACAATGACGAAGAGCTCCAGCATCTCCGCATTTGTCTCAAAGCAGTAGAGATCCAGATGCCACCCCATCCCGACAGGGAGCTTCAGCGCTGCATCACCGCCTTCAAGGACGACTACAGGGCGCTAAAGAAGAAGCGCGCCACCAGGAGCAGCGTCTCCAGCTTCTCAAACTACGACACATCCCAAGTCGACTTCCACTCTTCGCCCCGGTAGCAGGACGAGGGGAGTCGCCACGGTGGGAACACTGCGATGAAAACACAGCCCATGATCTCTTATAGTTTTTTCACGACATGATGATATCAGACCAACAGCCTCGGCCAAGATTGCAGCGAAGGCTTGCGAATTGTTAGCAACTTCCCTCTTTGTTCAATTTTGCTCACACCAACATGCATCCTTTGATTCTTTTTTTTTCTTTGTTATTTTACCCCGCCTCCAGCCCCGGGCCTCGAGCGAGCCGCCCTCTTATGGCGTTTTTTTCCGCTTACGAATTGTTGAAGCAATGTTATTTGACGATTGCACGGCACTAGAATAGGGGACGATACTGAGCCCTACTAATGGTATGGATAGTGGACATACCCAACTGATTTTATATATATTGGCATTTCTCCCACACACGCGCATCCCTCTGAGTTATCTTTTTGCATGGTTTAGCACCTTTGTATTATAATACCAGATACCAGATACCAAAGAGTCAGTAGGCCGCGGTGCTTGCGAAGCATGTATTTCAAAGGCACGATTATCCAATTTAAAGTAAAGGGAGAAATGACATTCTTTATAAAAAATCCAGGCCGAGGAAAAAAGACAAGTTCCTATCGCTACCTCATGAACCCAACCCATTAATCGCCGCCTGTACCGGACCGGACCGCGCGTTCCATTTTTTGTGGTCACCGGCAGTGTATACCAACCCTTTGCAAAAGAAAAGAAAAAGAAGAAAAACACAATGAAAAAATGATAACAAATCCTTCTGGGCCCGGCCCCGAAGCCTTGGGATGCCTGCCTTACCGATTAATGATCCCGTGAACCCGATACTCCTGGGTATTATTGTTTCCCATACCCCCAACCGTGTGTCCCAGTGTATACCAATTTTGGCTCGAGTCCAAAGGATGAAAAGAAAAAGAAAAAGAAAATAGGAAAAAGGAAATCCTGCCCCTTCCCGTGTACAAAGTGTGAAAATACAAAGGGCCTATACTAAGCTTCCTCTTGTCTCTTGGCCGGATTTTTTTTTTGTTTTTTTTTTTGGTGTTAGGATTAATCTGTCAGCTCTTTTTTCTATTTTTAAAGTTTTAGGAGAAAAGAAAGACAGGTTGGTTGATTAGTAGACGCTCACAGAAGCTTGGCGTCTACGCTCACTTCTGCGAGGTTCTTCCTCGAAGCCACTTCTTGGCGAGGTCTCCGCGCTGCTGCGGCGGGACTCCCCGGGATAGCGTGAAGAGGACATGACGTAGTCAGAGTCTCTTCTGGACTGACGGGTATCCTCGGGGGTCAGATCTCTGCTCCGCCGGCGGTGGTCATCTGAGCCGCCGACGCTGCTGCGCCCGCGGAAGAGGGGCATCGTCCACCTTGAGGATGGGCTGGACTGCCTGGGAGCATCATCGCCGGAGCCAGAGTGGCGGCGCGATGATACTGAAAACGGGCTATAGGTGCGGTGGTGGTGAGACGGGGATGAATCTGTCCGGCGTCGCCTTGAGCTCCGCTCGGGGCTCCGTTGCGGGCTCCGGCCTGGGCTGTGGTGGTGACGGCGGCGATGGGTAGTGGTGGTGGTGCTCTCATTGTCACCATACTCCGACTTGCGTCGCCTGCTCTGTGCACGCCTGCTCCGATCTCTCTTTGAGCGCTCGGGGCTATCGGGCTCCCTCATCCTCTTTTCCCGGCTGTAGCGGGGTGTAGAGTCATCTCTGCGAGCACGGCGCTGGCGATCATTCGCGTACACTGTGGAACGCGACGAGCGGCGCGAGGAGGAGACCAGCGAGGACTCGATTTCAGCATGGCGCATGGCGCTGCGTTGGAATGCCCTGTTGTAGGCACTGAGAACAAGAACTCGCGACTCCTCATCGTGCTTCTCAGGAAGCAGATGTCGGGACAGCTGCTTGGGGAGTCTTTCGATCTCTCCAGCAGCACCCTTGCACTGGATAGGAAGTCTCTCTACAATACTGTCCAGGCGATATGCCTCTTGGTCAGGAGTGGCCAGAATGAATATTGACATCCATTTAGCGAAGCCGGCTGGGGTGAGGGCAGGGATGTCTGGGGGAGAGCCTGGCTGCGATGACACCAGAAAGTGCTCACATCTCAGGGCAGTGTAGACACATTGAAGATCACGGTATTCTTCAATGTCATAGCAATCAAAAAGGCCTAGATGAGAGTTAGCATGAGAACAGGTCATGCCAAGTGGGATAGGCAGTTTGGTTGTACTTACAGTCAAAGGGAAGCAGCTCCTGCTTGCAATTGTATGACTTGTACAGTCTGAGGAGCTTCTCTGGAGTGATGACAATTGAATTGACCGGCTCATATTCAGTAATCTGTATAGTTTCACGTATTAGTTACCACATCTTACCAAAGGGATCGAGCCAAGGAGATGATGTATTCTTACCATGTAGTCGGCGACGCCGTGCAGGATGTTCTCCAGTCTCTTGGTGGGCTGGCCATGGTCATCAACCAGGCGACCCCATTTCAGGTCAACAGGGGACAGGTCAGTCTCCTTGGGTGCACGCGGGCGGGAGCTATTTTGGCGCGCGCTGTGGTGCACCTTGGTGGTGGCGACGGTTGGACTTGGGACCGAGCGGTCCTGGAAGTGGACTCGGGGTACGTCCCTGGAGCGGGAAGAAGGGGCCTTGTCCTTGATGACGGGATCAATGTCAGAGCGATGGGCCAAGGGCGAACTAGATCGCGGGGCATCATCGGAAGGCTGAGGTTGAGGTTTGGAGCCTCTTCCGCGTGGCGACGGGGCGGCCTCAGGCGGGATGACCTCAGTCGTCGCAGAGAGTGGTGCTGACTCTGGGGCTGGTTTGGGAAAGGCGGAAGCGGATAACAACGGGGTTGAAACATCCTCGACGGTGGCCTGGAATTTTAGTTTTCGGGGTACACGCTTGGTCACAGCGCGGCCCTCGGAAGCGTCAGTGGAGCCCTGTCCCTGCTTCTCGATGCGCGACACCAGGTCGTCGTCGAGGTTGTGGGCTGGAGGAGAATGTTAGAATAATTCAGCACGCAAGAGGATGGAGTTTATATGTGGGAGCCATTGGGACAGGAAGCACGGGGAGAGAAGGAGAAACGCACAAGTATAAACGGGCGATGCATCGACGTCATCGCTGGAGCGCCGGGGGGCATCCTCCATCAAGGTGATAATGGGCTTGCTCATTGTGTCATGTGAAGTGATCTCTGCAACAGCCATGGCGGAACTGGCAGACAGAAGGTGAGGATAGATTATACTAGTCAAGTGCCAGACAAGACTTTGATTAGATTGATTTTAAAAACAAGAAGGTCTGGGGGCAGGGAGAGGAGGAAGGGTCTGATATATACCCGCTGCGCTACGTATAGCAAGCAGTCCATGAGAGGAAGCATACTGGGTGCGTGGATACCATCCGGGCGGTACTATGCGAGGAGGACAGACTAGGTAGACAGGCGCCCTTGTTCGGGTGCGCCCCGTCAGCAAGGTTGCAGCACGATGCAGGGTCGGTTGCCTCCTCCTGTGGCCAAAACACCCAAAAAGAAGCACTCTTGACCCTCAGTTGCAGACTGACAACCCTGTCGGGGGGGATGGCTGTGGGGGGTGGAGGGAGTGTAAGTGCTGGCTGTGGCTCTCGACGCCTTGGTACGAGCCGAGAAGAGACGAATCACACGGCAGGGCCCGTACACAGGAGAAGTGTCAGTATGAGCAGTTTGTTTATTTTCATGCCGTGCTGCCATTGTCTCTTGAAAATTTTCGGTGATCGGCGACCGGTTTGCTAGCTGGACGTGACTTGCAGCAATCAAGGGCGTGTGGCTCATCCAGCTGGTGTGCTTTGGGGGGGCACGACAGGCTGCATGGTGGATGAGCAATGGGAGCTCCCTTTCGCCCACGGGGCCCCCAATCAGAGAAGATGGAGGGGGGCCCAACAGGGAGAATTGCGTGCAGTAGTCCATGGTACCCGGGCTATGTTACGCTGCGTACGCTGCCTATTTCGACAGAGCTGTCCAAGGCCAGGTCCAGCACTATGAGCCGGGCGAGACTCACAGGGCCTGGGAGGGAACCCGGCGGGAACGCAGCGGGCTCTGTGCCGTCCTCGCGCTGCCGTGGGCGGACGGATTTGTTGCACAATGGTTTGGATGGACAAGCCCGCTGACAGTGCGACCCTTCACACAGGGCAGCCGTCTAGCCAATTCCCGTGTTACATGTTGCTGAGTCCTTGAACGCATTGATTGAGAGCGCGCATTGGCCTGGAGCTGCTTCAGGTTGTGGCTGTTCCGCGGCTGGGATGGCCTTGCATCTGTGTAATAATCGACGTGCGCTGGACTCGTCTGTGGGTGTTATCGTAGCAGCCAGATTGGCCAATTGTGGGCCCTCGACTCCACAAAATACGCCCACTATCCGTCATTCCAGTCTGGGCTACGTAAGCAACAACGCATTTTACATCGCCCTATAGCCCAACCAGGACAGATCTAACAGATTAAGTACCCTATAGATATGCCAGAGCATGATCGGCATATGCGTTGCTTTAACTTGGCGATTGGAGGTCTGCTTGAAACAAGGATGATGCTGGATCACAGCCTCACTTTCTCAACACTCTTGCTGGCTGCTGATTTGTTTCCTTCCTATTGCACAGCCAGACCCTGTGGGACATGCACCTCATACGTCGTTCCTTGGTAATCAGGTTGTCATCAGGCTGCGACGAAAGCGACAAACTAACATACAACCAGCCTTGTTCCCACGCCAACAGTCCGTGGCTTGCAGTTGTGTTTAGTCCAGCCGGAGAAGGCATGCGTGCTGTGACACTTGCTGTGGGAATACACAATTGCGCAGCCATCCAACGATCTAGCCCGGAAACGGATCTCATCCCCCCTCTTTCTCATTCCCAGCGACGACTAAAACCTGCTCGTGATGGCTGGAGGATTCTCAACTACGTTGGGCGTCAACGGAGAGCCTGCCGTGCTCTAGCACGGCTGCATTTTGGGTGCCACAAAGGCAACTATCACTCCATCATCCTCACGCCAGCTGGGCGATGATCAGAACGAGAGTTTGT